TACTGGCAAGTACAGTGTTCAAGCCAGTTGGCAGAGCGCACTGTGAGTATCAAAGACACGTTACCCGAGGTTTTGTTGTGACTGATAGCGTCAGATCCAATGGAGCACGAGCTGGCGAAGTCATCGGTCTTGTCATCAACGGCTTCGTTAGCGAGCGGTATGGGTATCGGAAGACCATGATAGGTGCCCTGATATCGATGACTGCTTTCATCTTCATCCTGTTCTTTGCGCCCAATGTTCAGACTCTGGTCATCGGCGAAGTCTTCTGCGGGATCCCGTGGGGCATGTTTCAGACCCTCACAACGCAGTATGCATCGGAAGTTGCACCTGTACGTCTGAGACCGATTCTAACAACGTTCGTCAATATGTAAGCATTCGCATTGAATTTCTCCCAGACCGAATGCTAATGACCGTCCAGGTGCTGGGTGATGGGGCAATTTATAGCTGCAGGTGTAAACCGCGGCTGCGTCCAACGTCCAGACCAATGGGCATATCGCATTCCTTTTGCCGTGCAATGGGTCTGGCCCATACCGATCATGGTTGGTGTCTTTCTTGCACCTGAAAGCCCATGGTGGCATGTTCGTAGAGGTGACAAAGTGGGCGCTAAAGCTGCATTACTTCGTCTGACCTCGCCGGAAAAGGACCCGAGCTTCAACGCCGATGAGACGATCGCCATGATTGAGCATACCAACGAGATGGAAAAGAACATGTCAGAAGGCACTCGATGGACAGACCTATTCAAGGGAACAGACCTCCGACGAACTGAGATCGTATGCTTCACCTGGATTGCTCAGACAATTTGCGGGACCAACATCATGGGCTACTTGTCAGTATTAGACGTGAAGTCAGTGGGAACTTTGGGCTAACATCAAGTAGCGCATACTTCATGCAGAAGGCAGGCCTCCCCACCGTACAATCTTTCAACATGTCAATGATCTCACTCGCCCTTGGCATAGTCGGTACTGCTGGCTCGTGGTACCTCATGCAGAAGTTCGGTCGACGAACGATCCATTTCTCCGGCGGCTGCACACTATTCATCATCCTTATAATCGTTGGATCATGCTCTTTTGCCGGTACCCAAGCCTCGAACTGGGCTATTGGCGCGGTGTTGATTCTCTTCGTCTTCGTGTATGACTTCACGATCGGTCCCGTCACCTACTCAATCGTGTCGGAGATGTCATCCACTAGATTGAAGGCCAAGACGATCGTACTCGCGCGAGCGCTGTACAATATCTCGAATATTGTGGTCAACGTATTGACGAACTACCAGCTTGGAGATGCCAACTGGGCCTGGGGAGCGAAGACGGCGTTTTTCTGGGCAGGTACCTGTGGCTGCGTTGTGGTGTGGGTGTACTTCAGGCTCCCAGAACCGAAGGGTCGTACGTATGGGGAGCTAGATATGTTGTTCGACCAGAGGGTCAGCGCACGGAAGTTTGCTAGCACGCAGGTCGACCCGTACGGGCATGGGCGTGTCGCGGATGAGAAGGCTGCCGTGAGCTCGGAATGGAAGGAGTGAACATAGCCTTAGTTGCGGTGCTGATGTAATAGTTCTACGCGTCTCAAACGGTAATGAGCTATGTTCGCAGATGGTTGTTCGTGTTAGCGATGTCTTGCCTCTCCAGTGACGCGCATCTGCTTAGATATTAGTGTGTTGACATGACGTAAGCAGCCTCGGCATCACGCGACGCGTCTGACCAGCCCGCGGGCTACCTGCGGCCGCTCCTCCCCACGCCTCCTCACATCTCTGATCAACATCATGAACCCCACGTAGACACTCGAGCTTGATGCAGAACACCGCGTCTAGGACAGTCTACCGGAAACAAGTTGCAAAGGCATGTGACCCATGTCGCCGCCGCAAAACCAAGTGCAATGGCGTACAGCCTTGCGCAGGATGTTTATCGGCAAAACTAGCTTGCACCTTCAATGCACCACGGGGTCAAGGAGGTCGCACAGGTCCCAGGGCTAACGTACTCAACGAATTGAGAGCGATATCCCATAACGATGCCGACGTCTTCGACCCACAGGATGCTGCACCGACCGCGGTCGTTACCGCCGCTGTGGAATTGACAAGGGAAGTCTTCAAAACGTTGGTCGACGTCTACGAGGAGCGCATATACAGGATAATAGCTCTCATACCAGCCGAAAGACTGCGAGAAGAGTTCATGCAAATGCAGACTTCGCCGACATCTCGACTGCTCATATATGCCTTTTGCGCATACATGGCAAACTTTGCGGAAGCCTCCACTAATGCCAATTGCGGATCTACACAGTCTTCACAAACGCACTCACAAACCTACTACTTAGATCATACCTTGCTCTCGCTGCAGCGAGATAGGATTACGCAGCTTGACCATCGATCAGTTTATACCTCCTTCTTTCTGTACGGAGCTTACGCTGGCCGAGGCGACTATCGTCAAGCATGGTTCTATTTGAGAGAAGCAACAACCCTGTTCATGATGCTTAAAGACGAGGACAGGGATTGGTTCGACATGAAGACAAGGACACGGCTGTTTTGGATCTTGGTAGTGTCAGAAAGGTACGCTAAATACTTCCCGTCTTTCCTATGTCTGTTCCCCCACTTCGATGCATCGTGGTTCATCATATACACTTCCGACTTCATGATATCATTTGTCCCTTTCTCGTCTATCCAATCCCACCTGCGAGCGAAGACAGCGACGATTCTCAGTACCCATGGGCATCGTGATGAGTGTATTGCTTACTGGTTGTTAGAGCGCATGGCGTTCGTAGGAATCGGCCCATCACACTATCTGTCACTTCCTCAAGCTACCCACTCGATGGCCATGATGATCTTGGCTTGGTCCACCTCGCATCAGTCTTCCGACCGCTCGATGAAGTCTTTTTCGCAGTGTGGAACGGTGCAGCGCAAAACTGCAGTAAAGAGTGGTTAATCCAGCTCGAGAACGATGTTCGCACCGCGCTGCCCACTGATCTCGAACTTTCGAACGAAGAGATTGCAAATGTTCGCATATCGCAGTTCTGGCTACAGATCAAACTGTGGGAGCTGTTTCCCCGCTTCGGGTTTCTCTCCACAGAGTCTGTTTACGATTGCTTAACATTCAGATACCCCATTCTGGTTGGCAAAGACTTGACCATTCTCTCGATGAAGCTACCAGTTCAGAGTCTGCAGATACATGGCGTCGGCATGGTACGTCATTCAGCCGCAAGCTTGTCTCATTGCTAACAACATTAGACGGAGAAGGTATTCGACATAGCCTGCGCTTTAGCGGACGTTCTTCATTTCGTACCTCAGTCTGCATCACATGCCGAACTCAGCCCCCCAGATTACTTGACCCAGTTGATGCTGTTGATAGCAAAGCTACCGGGCGGCTCGTCTAAGTTCATACCTTTGCTGCTAGCCAAAGTCAATGAACTACTTCCGGATCTGCTGGAGCACGTATGCGAAGCCATTCAAATGCCAATCCCCACCAATCACAACCCTATGAGCCCAGACACACGATTTGTATATGAAGAGGAGGTTGGTAGAGGCCTTCACGCAGACTTGAGGAGGACATTGTAGCGGGAAGGAAGAAAGATGCATTCGAAAACTGCAATCGGGACAAACCAGACTGGGTCTCACGAACATATCCAACCATAGGACATCGGACACGACCCCGAAGTACTATCCTATCCACTTCTACATAAAGAGTACCGACCGGTCTGGACTTCCCAGCGACCAGCGCCAGGACAGCCCGCCGTCGACAATACTCAAACCCAAACCCCAAGCAAAAAGAAACAAGAAACCCTGACCATCCCAACGACCAGCGTCAAGATGGCCCACCGCCAACCACAACCCCACCAGCATGGCGACCAGCGCTCATGCGAACCTCGGCCTCAGTGCCCGCCGGCGAGAGATCGCGCCTTCGATGTCGCCATCGATCACCGTCTCCAGCCCACCACCAGGTCCACACACGAAGATGAGCTCGCTGCTCAGGCGGTTGTATCTTGTGTCCCTCTTGGACACCACTGTGGCTTCTGGCTGCTTGCACATCCAGGGAGGTTGCTCGCCAGGGTGATCCCTCATGTATGCGAAGGCCCGCTCCAGTTTCGTCGTCTGACTCTCACGAGTGAACCAGCGGACAAGCGGAACGGCAACGGCGAGGAAAACGGCGACGAAGGACCAGAAGAGCGCGGTGCGGAGGTATTGCCAAACGAGATCGATCTCGTATGCCTTTCGGCGGCGGAAGGTTTCGTGCCAGTCTGTGAAGCCCGACCCAGGCACGTCTGGGTCGAAGCGGTATCGGTCGAAGAAGAGGTCGAGGATGCGGCCGAAGGTGTTTTCCCAAAATGGGTCGTTTAGGCCCGCCAGCAGGCCAAACGACACCATCATGTAGGTGTTGTGGGCTTGTCGGAAGGAGACCGACAAAGAGAGTCGGCGGATGAGGACGTGGCCTAGGGCCCAAGAGAAGAGGGTGCCGATGGCGATGCGTAGCTCATTTGAGCTCGCGGCGAAGATGGTGATGAGCACCAGGCTCAGGAAGATGCGCAGCTTGTTCTGCGGGGACAGCATTGTTGCTGTTGTGGTGGTGATGATCGTGATGACGGTGGGAAGAGGAAACTTGGAAATGTCTTGAAAATGAGCAGGTGTGGTGTTTGCTAAAGAGCAAGAGTTGGAGGCGGATGGGCTGTTTATATAGTACTGGCTTCTGCGCGAAGATGAGACGGTTGACAATAGCTACTATTGTTACAATAGGTACGTATCCGCCTTCACCTCTACTTTTTACAATACCGACTGAACAATAGCGGACTCATGAAAATCTCGCCTTCACCCCGGAACGCCAACAAAGATCAGAATAACAAGAAGCTGACAAAAGACAGGGGTCTCGATGTACCTCGCCTTCACCTTCACCCCAGCGTCACGTAGACCCCACGAACACACACGTACGCTGCACGTATCAAGACGCGCACTCATGTAAACCTCAGCCTTCACTATTCCACATCCTGCCGCCTCTCAAACCTCATCGTATAGCCCAACCCACCCCCTAATAATCACTATACCTCCTCTTCGACAGCGCACTCACCCTCGACACCCGCTTACTCGCCACATCGAGCCCCTCCCCCTCAACAAACAACCTATTATGCACTATCCAATCCTCAAACTCCTGCTCCCTCTTCTCTTCATCCGGATCAATCCAATCACCCATCTCACTTCCTTCCATAGTAGTATTAGTAGTATCGCTCATCCTGTTCACGACACCATCGCCTGAGTGTGAGACCGAGGAACTAGATTGCTCCCGCCAGTGGTGCGGGAGGGGACTTCTTCCTCGCCCGTCGTCGTTGGCGGCATCGATGTCACTGGGATCGAGACGTCGGATTTGGGACTTTTTGTACTCGTGCGCTGTTTCCGCGAGAGACTTTGCACTGACACCGGTGTTGTTGTTGTTGCTTTTCCAGTTCCGCGGCAGCGTGTATGAAAATGCTGAGCGTATGCCGCTTGGCTTGCGGCGGAGGGAGCCGCCTACCCGGCTGAGCCAGGTTTTGGGGCTGGTGTCTTTGTCTGGGGTTGTGGCTCCGTCGGCGGGTGGTGGTGTGGCGAAGGGAGACATACAGGGCAGGTCTTCTCCGCTGGGACATTGCATTAGGTGGCAGGAGTGGTCGATGAGTGCGGGTTCTACGCCGTTGGGGAGCTGCTCGTAGGTGGACATGCCGATGCTCACGCCGCGTTTGCGGCGGAGAGAGAAGAATCGCGTGGGTCCTGTGAAGGGGAGGTGCTGGGTTGGAGTGGGTGTCACGGGCTCGATATGTGACTGGTTGGTGTCGGCTTCGAGCTGTTCACTACGTTGGGCGGTCTGGCGAACTGCCTTCTTCTTGTCTTTGCGTTCTTGGTGCCGCTTCCGGATCTGCTGATTTGTTAGTGAGTGGCCTTGTTGTACAACGATGCGGGTTTGGGTCTTGACAGTAGACGTGACAGGAACGCGATGGATTTCTTTTAATGTTGAATAGCCAGAGACGTCACTTACCGTACCGATCAACCCCATCTTGGGCATACTGGGCGAATGCCTCGAGAAGTCTTTGCCGTTGAAGATCAAGGATGAGGTTGCAAAGGAGAGCAACGAACGGTCCTGAGTACAGCTGTCAAGTGCAACGTCAAGATGTCCACGGAAGGCTTGTAAAGTTCGGTACCGTGAGTGGGGATACCGTCAACCAGAGGATGTGGTTCATCGAGGGTCCATGGACATGTCATGGTGCCCACCTCAACACATCATGAGCAGGGTGAGGATGTATTTTTAACTTTTCAATTACTCTTACGCTTGAACCCTGCTTCTATGGTAATCGTGTGACCTTTCGCGATCTCTCAGACTCAATGCAACTCGGTCGTTTCAATGCTCATGTGCAGAACCCAAACTCATTTCATCTCGATATGCTACCGCTGACGCTGTGCAGGAAGTGCTATCCTTGATACCCCCAAATATTTGGCTTTCCACGTGGCCGCTTGCGAAGGTCATCCATTGTAACTCTTTGACTGTCGGGAATCGAAGGGTGTGGATCTGTGGGCCGCGATTGAATTGAACCACGACCACCGCGACCAACAATCATTCCCCAACCGCTTACACCTCGAGTCTGACTAGAAGAACCTCCGTGACCGCCACGAGCACTGACACGATGAGGATAGGGAACAGGACTCAGATAAGAAGCCTGCATTTCCTGGATCGACAGAACATCGGTTGGTTCGTTCCTATTTGTCGCTTTGAGATCGATCCCCGCAATGATGGCAATGCGCTCAAGTCTCGCGATCTGCTTCCTGAATGCGCTTCGCTCTTTCTTGTATGTACTCGCTATCTCTTGAAACCGGCTGGTCTTCCTAGCGTCATAATCTCTTAGTATGACTTCGCCAGGACTTTGAGCGCTGTGGATGTGTGTACGTTCAACCTCATGTAGCTTAATGAGCGCGTCGTGGATGTTGGAATTCTCAGTTATGGTGTTCATCAGGTCGTTTCTCTCAACCCACATCTGTATGATGCCCTTGACATGATTGGTGAAAACCTTTATAGTTCTTGCCTCAGCTTCGAACGCTGATGTCGCTATCTCCACGTCCCTTTGCTCTTTCCGATCGTTTCTGATCATAGCTCGCTCGCAGCTGGCGATAGATCTTTTGATGATGTGCGTGAGCTGAGCGTTTTGCTCCGCCGTGAGGTTCGTTGCAGTCGCACTTGCGGGTTCCTATGCGTCCAGATTAGTTCAAGGTTTGTTCAGTGTCTCATAAAAAGGGTGAGTACCAGGCGCAGCTCCTCGGTCAGCTCGCTCAGCCTATCGCTACGGTTGAAGCACTCCCGGAGCATTCCGTCAAGTACAGAGTTCATGCCCGCCTTGACTTCCTCGATCGTTGCCATTTCCATGGCGTTGCCTTGCTTGAGGCCTGCGATGATGGCGTCCGACGACATGGCTGGTTGGCGCGATTGTCGCAGGCGTCGCCGCAGTATTGGTCTCGGTTGGTGTTGCGGTCGCGTTGTGGAGTACAGAGTCAAAGAGCTTTCCAGAAAGAGCAGGAGCGACTAGCGCGAAACTACCAGGCAAGCGGTGAAAGTGAAGGTGAAGACAGAGACCAACGATTGCTGCATTTCGCGCTCAAATCGTCCGCATCGACGATCATTTGCTATCTCCTGCTATGCGCCCGTATGAGGACATACGTTAGGCCTACCTAGTCTGTTCCCCTCAAGGCTGCTAACATGGCCACCATACTCTTCTTCAACGCGTTGAAGAATCCACCGTATACCTCACTCGTCAAGAGAGATTCCTGCAGTCTTGGCCAGGGACCGAAGACTGTGCAACTGCCTATCCTGCCATTCTCGCTCCTTGGCACAGCGCTCGTAAGCCTCATCTCCCCGCTCTTTGCGTTCTGCCTCAATGCGTGCTTGTTCTCCGTTCAAATGCTTGTTGCATTCATTCAAGAGGAGAAGTTCCTTATCCACGTCACCTTCGATGCGGGTGATGTAAGGACGCAAGGAGCTTAAATAGGATGTCAAGCGATTGAAGAAGATTACTCTTGCGTTGAAGTCATCTCCGTGAGAACACAAAAGCTCATGGCTCGTCTTCCATGCCTTTTTGTCCGCGACGAACTGCCTTTTAGACTTGACTCCCTCCACTTCATAATTTGACTCGCTGGTTGCTTTGGCGGTAATGCAGTTGCGAATCAAATCCTTGATAGTGGATGTGAGTTTGTGTCTCTGAACTGTAGAGAGGGCTGTAGCTGAAGAGGTAGCTACTGAAGTGCCCTAAACCCAGAAGTCAGTTACTGTCACAACTCTGAAGAAAGTCGCACATACCGGTGAGTACCTAGGCCCGCTAGTCATACCGTTGAAACCCCTCACGGCTGACAACCTTGTCACATCAATGATCTGAATGGCAGGCAACGGAGCGATCGTGCGTGCATGCGCCGTGCTTTGAGAGCGAGGGACCGGAGCAGGCGACCTGATAGCTGCCGATGCGCCAGTAGCTCGAGCTCCCCGCTCAGCAACCACTCGCTCATTCTTCATATTCCCAGCCATATCACTCAGGCCCTCGATCAGCTTGCTGAGTGTTTTGCGCTGCCTCAGATATACCTCCTTGGCCTTCCTCAGCCCGTCCGTTCTCGCAGCTCTCATATCCACCTTCCTAATCTTGACCGCCCTGAACATATCCGCGATGAGAACGCGTTCTTGCGCATGTTCCACAAGCAAAGCGTTGTGAACCAGGTTCACGGCTTGGTTCGTAGGCAAGCGAATGTAGAGTCCTTCTCTCTTTTCGAAAGCGGCTTCCTGGGCTTTGGTTCGGCTGTGCTGTTCGTCTAGCGAGACTCTTTGGGCTTCGAATGTTGCGTCAATGGTATTGATGGTGTCCTGGTATTCGGCGTGGCTGGTCTCAATGGCGTGGATGCAGAAGTGGACGTTGTCGCGGTTGGGCTTTGGGAGGTGTGCGTAGGTTTCTGCTGCCGGGGTTTCGAACGCCTCGTAGTTCTCCTAGAATGACAATGTCAGTCTGAGTCTTGTGTGTTTTCCGTAGCTGGCATGTATCTCATACCTCTCCACCTTCCGCGTCACCCAGCATCTCGTCACTGTTGTGCTCCTCCTCTGGCATTGCGCCGGTGCTCAGGACTGCAGGCATCGTCGCGCTCTTGCAAAGTTCGTGACTGATGTCGCGCTGTTATGTGTAGACGTGGCGTGCGGTCGAGAGATTGCAGAGTTGCAAGTTGCTTCTAGAAGTGGAAGGAGCCCACTAGCGCAAGACGCGGGTTCATCGATGAAAGTGAAGATGAAAACCCGCAGCCTCATCGTCTCCGGCATGATAAATGCGCAGCCAGTCGTTGCCCTCGGACCTTCTTTCTACTCCAAAATTTCGTGCTGTTGAGTGTCGACGTGAGCAGCTTGATGCGCTTATGCCTGGCCGTCAGTATATACTTACTGCTATGTGAGCGGTATACCAACTTTGGCGCAGCCGCTCGACCTTTGTCATGCTCTTTCTTCCACCAGAATTAGTGCCGGCGCGTGCCCATCTAAGTAGATCATCGTGACTCTTGCTCGTGGAGAGCACATGCGTGACTTGATGTGAGCGGTATGCCGGCGTAGAGACAGTTGCTGAACATCGTAGGCGTCGACATCTCTCTTTCATAGAGACATTGATCCGCAGCAATGCATTCCGTCGAAGTATGACGTTGAACAACCGAGTAGACCATAGAAAGGAAAGAGGCAACTAAAGTGAGACTGTGGTGAAGAAGTAGATGTCTGAAAAAACCGAAGCAGGCATTCCGCACTCCCAGGTTCGAGGTGAGAGAACCTCAGATGCTCACCGACAAGGAAAAGCGGTGAGGTACTAATATCCTGAGCTATGAAAGCAGCGTGTGATCGAAGGGAATAAATGTAGACAGCTGTTATGGAAACGGCAAAAACCCTACTAATGTCAGCGTATCACACCCCGTCTACCCACCTCGAGCCCACAGTCATGCTATTACATTCCGTCACCGCCCCAAGGCCTGAAATATTTCAAAGTCGTTAGATGGAGTTGCAATAGGAATACTCGTACATGCAATCGAAAATGCTCTAACCCAGCACCTACGTGTGTCTACCTCAGCCGAAAATGGTCATAGTCTGATCATACAAAATCCCGGTCCTTCGCCAAACCTGAATCCACAAGAACGCTAGAATGGCTACCGCACTATCCTCTTCCGTTCATACTCCATTTATACCCTAAGGAGCTTAGCAGCATAGTCAACAATCAAGCTCTCGCTGGGGAAGCTCATCTCCTCGAGCTTCTGGGCATATGGTGTGGGCACCTCAGCACCAGTGACACGGGCAGGGGGCGCCTCCAAGTAGTCGAAGGCGTACTCGCAGGTAAGCGCCATAATCTCAGACGCGACACCGAAGGATGGGAATCCAGACTCTACGCAGAGCATGTGGCCGGTCTTCTTGACAGACTTGACAATGGCCTCGACGTCGAGGGGCTTGATGGAGCGCAGGTTGATGACTTCGGCTTCGACGCCGTACTTGGACTTGAGTTGTTCGGCGGCGACGAGGGATTGGCCGACGCAGCGGGAGAGGGTGACGATGGTGAGGTCCTTGCCGGGGCGCTCGATCTTGGCCTTTCCGAACTGGGGGTCTGTTAGTATGAAGCTAGAGTGGGATGATGGTGGGGCAGCTTACGGGAATGACGAAGTCGTCTCTCTGGGCCTCCTCGCTCATGGGGAAGGACAGACCGTACAGAAGTCTGTGGATGTTAGTGCACAGTCTCCTGTCTCGCGACTGTTGTGACCTACTCGTTCTCGAGAACCACGACCGGGTTCGGGTCACGGATAGCAGCCTTCAACAGACCCTTGGCATCCTCGGCGCTGTATGGCGAAACGACCTTGAGTCCAGGAATGCTTCCGTACCACGCAGTGTAATCTTGCGAATGCTGAGCAGCGACACCGGACGCGAAACCGTTGGGACCACGGAAGGTGATGTTGCAGGGCTGGATACCACCGGACATATAGTGGGTCTTTGCGGCGGAGTTGATGATCTGGTCAATGGCCTGCATGGCGAAGTTGAAGGTCATGAACTCGCACTGTCGTCGCTGTCAGATTTGCTTTTTGGGTCATGATAGCTGAGGGACTCACAATGGGGTGGAGACCAGCGAGCGCGGCACCGACGGTCAGACCGGCGAAACCTGACTCTGTGATGGGAGAGTCGATTACCCTCTTCTCACCGAAGCGGTCGAGCAGGCCCTTTGTGACCTTGTAGCTGTGGCTCAGTCAGCACCGTCCATTGATATTCCGTTGTGTATAGCCTGCGATGTATTCTCTGCCCAATTGGACCCTCCTCTTTCTTATCGCAGATCTGACATCTCTCTTCTTCGTGGTGGGACGTACGCTCCGTTGTATTGCGCGACTTCCTCTCCGAGCACGAAAACCTTGTCGTTGCGCTCCATCTCCTCGGCCATGGCCTCGTTGAGCGCCTCTCGCACTGTCATCTCCTTCTGGCCCGACGCATATCCTCTCCTCGCAATTGACGGTATAATGGCTGCGGCGCGGAAAGCTGGTCGGAAGGCGGGCGCTGGCCGCGACGCCGAGACGAGGCGGGAGGTGGGTCGGAGGAGCCTTGAAGCAGCCATTGTGGGGTGTGTGTGAGGGTGAAGGTGTGGTGAGGAAGTGCCGTGGGCGAGTGATGGCCGCTGAGGCTTGTGGTGGTTGCTGGGGCTTGCTGGACAATTTCTTGATGCGAAGATCCGAGTCGTTGGGGCCGGCGCTAGCGATCAAAGCTCTCGAGCAGGGACCACACTATAGCGAGAACACCCGACGTGCGTCTGGATGGTCCCTGGATGGTCCGCCCCAACAACGTCGCTTTCACCATAGTCAACTCTTCCATACAGCATCTACTGCATAGTGATTCAATAGTCGCTTGCAAATTGTATGATAATGATCAAAACATTCAGATGAGGATTACTTCTTCTATTCTCTATAGCACCACATTTCGCGTTACCATGACCGTCCCTAGACCGTGACCTACTTCAAAATATTACAGTATATATGCGCGTCTCCAATGCGCGTGATGCAAATGCCAGGAGATGATGCTCCTATATCGAAGGAATAGCTCGCAGACCAACGAGGTCCTAGATGCGAAGAGAAGTCTAATGCAAAGGGCGAGAATTGAAAACTTATGCGTCGGCGGGTTTCCTTCCGACCATGAGGTACATGGGTGTGAAGAGCTTCTCCCGGCCACCAGCAACAAGGCAGTCGGCTGCGAGGGCAAGACTGTCGGCAGTCTTTTGGGTACCCCTGGGAGCGAGACCGATCATCTCAAGACCACCGACGAACTTGTGGATGAGGCCACGTCCGACCTTGGTCATGCGAAGAATGGTGGGGATGTCGCCAATGGTGCTGATGTACTTCAGCTGGCCAGAGAGCGGCCAGTACCATGGGTAAGGGTCGTCCCTGTCTGCCAGATCCTCGTTGTGCTCCATCACGAAGCCGGCCTTCTTCATAGCATCGAGCGCGACCTCAATCTTCTCCATGTTCGAGATTCCGTCACCGATCTCAATTCCAAGACGGATCTCGCGGTGGTGGGGGTTGTCGTTGTCGTACTTGTCGGTCATGAGCCACTCGTAGACACCAAAGACACCGCCGGGCTTGAGAACGCGGAAGATCTCGCTGTAGATGCCCTCGAGCGATGGTGCGTGGACAGTGGCCTCGATGGCGTAGACGGCATCGAAAGAGTTGTCGGGGAAAGACATTTGCTAGGACGAGTTAGTGAGGGGTACGCAGGGTGTGAGGGTATATCATACCATGAAGTCACCCTTGGTGAACTTGAGCTTGTCTGAAAGACCCTCCTTCTCGGCGTAGGCAGTGGCACGCTCAATCTGGTAGTCGTTGTTGTTCAATCCAACGACGTTGACACCAGCGAACTTGACAATCTCACGGGCGGGTCCACCGACACCGCAGCCAACATCCAGGACGCGCATGTTGTCCTGGAGGTTCATCTTGTGGGCAAGGTAGTGCTCGTGGCGGGCAATGGCCTTGTAGAAAGACTCGCCATAGGCGTAGCGAGCGAAGTGGAAAGACTGTCCCCAGCCGTACTCGTAAAGGTCGGTTGCGAGGTTGTAGTAGTGTCTTGTGAGGGTAGCGTATTCATCTCGTCGTTCCTGGGTCTGTTAGTAAACACGGTATGCAACAATGCCACATATGCGTACCTTGCGGGTCTCCTCGGTCTCGTCGCCAGCGGCCTTGTTGTCCCAATGCTTGAAGTACTCGTCGACAGCGGCTTGCTGGGCAGCCTTGTCCTTTTGCAACATGGCAGTCATGCCACCGCGAGCCTTTGCAGACTTGCCGTGCATGGCCTTGTTGAACTCGGCATCGCGAGAATGGTCTTCCTTTTCGAGCGCAATGGGAGACATGATGGGTATTAAGAGTGATATGGAGTTATGCGGGGAGCGAAGTGAATGAAACGGATAGTAGAATAAACAATTCGAAGAGGACAGGACCCTGAAACTTTATAAAGACGACCCCGGAGAGGAAAGAGCGGTATGGGTAGGAGATTGGGACTTGAATTTCTTAGGGGGTAACTGGCGTCGCCCAATCACGACCGACTCTGTACGCGGCCCTGGTCAACAGCGCTAGCGGTCGGTCGTCGCCACCCGAGCGCGTGAAAGCCAAGACCGTAAGAGCCGTATAGTGTAGTGCCTAGATTTCTACCGTCACTCCCATACCATCTGTCGCAACAACCACCGCGCCCCACTACGCGTACTCGACGTCCCCAGATTCGCTCGGTGAAGTCGCGAGATTACATTCAAAACTCAGCCACTGTCGCACACCCTACACAGCAGGCCTCACCATGCCGCCGCAAATCAAGAGCGACCTGAACCGTACGTCATATTCTTTTCTGCACTGCCCCAGCGTTTACTAACTTCATGTAGGATCGGGCTGGGAAACTACCGACTTTCCATCTGTCTGCGAGAAATGCCTACCGGATAGCACCTACGTGCAGATGCTGAAGGAGGACTACGGCGCAGAGTGCAAGATCTGCACGCGACCCTTCACCATCTTCCGCTGGAAGGCCGACCGCACCGCGCGACAAAAGCGAACCAACATCTGCCTCACATGCGCCCGCCTCAAGAACTGCTGCCAGCACTGCATGCTCGATCTGTCATTTGGTCTGCCCATCGTAGTCCGTGATGCTGCTCTGAAGATGGTGGCGCCCGGCCCGCAGAGCGACATCAACCGACAGTACTATGCGCAAGAGCACGAGAGAGAGATCGAAGAGGGGCGTGGAGCGATGGAGGCATACGAGAAGACGGATGAGAAGGCACGCGACCTGCTCAAGCGTTTGGCGCAGAGCGAGCCCTACTACAAGAAGCAGCGACGGATAGAGGCTGAGGAGGGCGAGAGTGGGCAAAAGGCATTACCCGCGCCAGGCGGAGGCGGCGCAGGAGGGGAGAGCAGTCACGTCCCCGGACCGATCAGAACGCGAGACTCACGAGGTACACCTGCGCGAGGAGGCATGAGGCCTGGAAGAGGAGGTCGCATGGGCGGCGCATCCGCGGAGCCAAACCCGCAAGATTGGCTGCCACCTTCCGACCCCAACGTCGCATCGCTCTTTGTCACGGGTGTAGAAGACGACCTTCCCGAACACGAGCTCCGCAAGCACTTTTCACAATACGGCCAACTTCGATCGCTGGTATGCTCACATCGAGCGCATTGCGCATACGTCAACTTCGTCAAACGGGAAGACGCCGAGACGGCAGCGGGTACACTAAAGGGCAAGGTGGTCATCAAGGGCTGTCCTATGCGCGTTACTTGGGGCAAGCCGAAGCAGTTGGACAGCTTGGATCAGAACGTCAGGATGCAGTACGCGAAGGAGGGACGACAAGTAGCGGGCTCGTCGCGACGGGCAGCTGCTTCTCAGGCCGCGATTGAGGCTGCACCACAGAACAGCCTGGACAGTATGGTCGTTGCACCTCCGCCGGGAGCTGATGACGATGTTCAATACGCCAGTTTGGCCGGAAACTAGGTCTTCATTTCTTGCATTGGGTCGGCGTTTTGGACTGTATGGGTATCATGATTCATTCGATGTGCATAAAAGCCTAGGAGGAACAGCATTTTGTGCCTCCCAATGTACTCTTTCCCTTGCCCTTTTTGATATCCTCGTTGTCGCCTCGTTCGGTATGCTCGTGTATCCGTAATTCTGCCTGCGTTAGCCATACAGCCCTCATACAATTATGCAAGAAGCATACTGTAGCTTTCGCCCTCTGGGTCCGCTGCTTGCCCTTGAACCACGTTTTCACGAAGAAACTTGGCCACCTCCTCGGCATGTACTAATGACGATTGCAACTCTTCGCTTCCGATTCGTAGGTTGCGGTTCTCTTCAAACTTGTTACGGGCTTCGGTGCGGGCGGCGAAGAGGGTGTTCATGTCGCCTATGCTGTGTGAGCGCTGGAACTAGTTCGGCATCGCAATTCGTACCTTGGAAGGCGATGCGCGCGGATCGCAGCAGGTTCCGGTATGCAACTAGCGCCATCTTGTGTAAAGTCGGGGCGGTGTGTAGTGAATCGAAGCGTGTGAAGAACGACCAGTTCCGCTCGGAACTTCCGCGAGGAAAGTTGCCACACGTGACATCGTTCTTGCCAGGGTCCCCCCGGCTGGCGATCCGACACCCGCTGACGTCGCGCAGCTGGAAGTGGTCCACACACGAGCAACGCTTCGGTGGCCTCAACGGTAGAAATCTAGCTCCCACACCGGGCTGTGATCTACCAGAGCCAACATGGTGTCCTTCTGGCCTTGGAAGGTACGTCGAATCTAACTACGCGCTAACACGCTTGCTGACTGTGGCAGGGTAGCGAAGATGCCGCCTCGTTCGAGAGGACGCTCAACACTCTTACTGGCAAGATCAACAGAGCCGCTGCGCGCAATGACAAACAGAAGCAGCTCTCGCGACGCGCTCGCGTCATGTGGACGCTGTATACCGGCTTCGCGTATATTCTGGTCGCGGTCGTGCTCACTTTCGTAACGGGCTGGCAGAACTGGGGTCCCATTGAGGGAAGCGTGGTGGCTGGCGGGCCTGTCTTGTATGTCCATTGTCATCGCGGTATTGGATCATCTAACCCTCCAGGATCTACGGCCTCCGCTACGCGCTCATGAGCTACTTCGACTACCGCATCCGCAACACTGAAGCCTACCTCAAGAAGCTGAACAAGGAACGCGACGCTACCATTGAGCGCCTCAAGGAAGCCACCAAGTACAACTCGACCCAACAATTGCTCGAGAAATATGGCGCCTCGCCCAAACAACCCGAGCAGCCACAACAAGGTGACTCCCCCGGTCGCAGAAAGTCCCAAGGCCCCCAGAAGCCAGCGCCGCCGCCAGGTCCCCGCACCGGTATGCCTCCTCCCCCAACGGCAAACATTCAGCGACCGCAGCCCCAGCAACTCCCGCATACCCCGCAGAAACCCCCTTCGAACGTCTCGTCACCCCAAGGCCCATCTCCGCCGCAGCAACTGCCCCCACCAGAAGCCCCAGGCGCTGAATTCGCACCAAACGCCTTCAATACTGGTGCCGTCGACCTAACCAAACAATACACCGCCGACTCTCCCGCCGCCTTCACACAAACCCACTGGTACGACCGCATCCTCGACGCTCTCCTCGGCGAAGACGAAACACAGGCTAAGAACCGCTTCGTCTTGATCTGTTCAGAGTGCCGACTTGTCAACGGGCAGGCACCACCTGGCGCCCGTACGCTTGAAGACGTTGGGAGGTGGAGATGCGGTGGGTGCAGTGCGTGGAATGGGAAGGAAAAGCCGCGGGAAGATGATGTTACGAGGCTGGTGCGTGATTGGGAGGCTGAGCGGAAGGCGAAGGATAGACAGGGGCAGGGAATGGATGGGGGTGTGAAGGAGATGGAGCAGGTGGAGGTGGAGGATGAAGGTGTGGTTGTTGAGGCTGAGGCTGACAGCAGTGGAGAGGATACGCCCCCGCCCAGTCGGAATACGAGGAGTAAATCCAAGGGTAAGGGGAAGAAATAAGGAGGATATGGTGGGCATGGCGTCTAGGTATGCCGGGATGGCACAAAAGGGCGTGGATGGTGGGGGTTATGTACACTAAACATTGCTATGGCTTACAGGATAACAGTAAGCCTTCTCAGAAGACATGGAAAGATCAGAAGATTTCGAATCGTCCCAACTTTTCCTCATGTGGCAGGCACGTGCGCTGCTGGTCGTGTATAAATACCTCGTTTTACTCCCTCTCTTCCTGTTTCTTATCCCTCATCCTTCCTCTGGATTTCTCCAAAACGCGCTCGCGCCCTCGCCATGGTGTGCGCTTCCTCCCGCGCCTCTCCATCATTTTCCAAAACGCCTCGGTTTGTACAACATGGTGTGCGTTCCCTCCGCCTCTTCTTCCGCGCCTCTTCCAAACGACTTGTCTATCAAGACATGGTGTGCGCTTCCTGCACCTCTTTATCATTCCATCCAAAAACGTGCCTCACTGCAATATGTGTGGTGCGTTCTGTCCTGTGCTCCTTCATCATCTTCCAAAAACAAAATCGGACAACAACATGGTGCGCGCTCTTTCTGCGCCCGTTGATCATTACATCCAAAACAAATTCCCTAAGAGGGTCATGGTGTGCGCCTTCTCCTCGCCTTCTCAAAACACAACCAACTACCCAGAACACACGAAATCCAAAGGCATGTGTTGGCCACTGTCCTGTCTTTTCAAAAAATTCAGCCGTCACTATCGAATGTCTCCGTTTCCGGAACCACCAAAAACATATCACTATGGACGCCATGACAGTAGGAAGAGTCGAGAAATTGCAGCGATAGCTATGCATGGCCGGTCGAGGAAAATTTATCATGAGTATTACATGGCCTGTCGCTGTTCTCCAAACACAAAGGAAGAGAAGACATGGGGTGCACAAAAATCTCTCATCAAGCGCCCCATGACTGAGAAGCTGTCGAAATAACGCAAAGGAGATGCTATGAGCTGTGCCTGTCTGTCCTAAAGGATCAGACAATACCCACATGGTGTGAGAAAGGAGCTTTTCACCGATATATGTGTCGGTCTGGCGGATATATAAACCTCACTGCATCCTCTGACTTCTTGTCTTCTACACTCCACACCCTTCTGTGTTTTCACCAAAACGCTACAAGATCGATTCTATGGTGTGCGCTCCTCCTCCTCCTTCCTCGATTTGACCAAAACAGTATGACGAACATCTCATCGTGTGCGCTCCTCCTTCTGTGGACTTCTAAAACACGCATCAATACAATCGATGCGCGTGTGTGTCGCTCCAGAAACGAAAGATCATGGCAACAGCTTCATGTGCTCGTCCTTCTCTTCTTCGACTTCCAAAAGCATCGATAAAGCAGTAAAATGAGAGAACTTCTGCTTCCATAAACGTTCGAGCACGATCTGGGATGTGTGCCTCATCCTTGGTTCTATAATACAGCAACGGTCCAACAAATCCCTGCCGCTTTCGTGATGGGCAGTTCTTGGCGCGTGAGTGGTGTATAAAAGCCTCGTCTTCGCTGGCTCTTCTTGTCTTCTATATTCCAAACTTCCGGTTCTTTTTACCAAAATAGCCCCACCGTCCACCTATGGTGTTCTCCTGCCTCCTTCTTTCTCAAAATCCCCACCCAATAACACCATGTGTGGTTCTGGTCCACCAAAACAACTACCGAACAGTCATGAGCGGTGCTTGGTGGATATTTGGAGTATAAAAACCTCGTCTTTGCCTGCTTCTCCTGATTTCATGATCCCACACTCTCCTTCGGTTTCATACAAAAGGCCTGGAACATCTAGTAATGGCTTTCGCCTGGCTCCTCTGTCTCAAAGTCCAGCCCTCACCACGCCATGTGCGGTTGTAGCCCACCAAAACAGCTACCGCATTGTCTATGAGCGGCACTTTGTTGGTAGTTGGAGTATAAAAACCGTGTCTTTGCCGGGTCTTCCTGTCTTAATTATTCTACACACCTCTGGTGTTTTTCCAAAACACTATGGCCTTCGGAACATGGTGTTTGCCTGCCTCCTCGGTCTTAAAATTACTATCTCAACGAAGCTATGTGTGATTGAGGTCTGCTAAAACGCCTACAAACATCCTGAATGTTGTCCTGCCTGCTGGCCTCTGAGATTCTGTTCGATTGTATTCTATGGCCGTCTGGGAACTTGGAAACACTGTAAATCGGAGATGCACGCGGCTATATTCACAACACAAAGAGGAGTCTGTGTCATGCTTCGGGGTTGCAAAACTCAATCAAGCAAAGCTGATGACTGTGCTAGTGGATTGGTGGTGTATAACACCCCGCTCAGCTGCTGGTCTTTTTACTACTTTGCACACTACATCCATTTGGTGCTCCAAAAAACGCATTAGCAGACGGCGATGTCTGCTTCCTCCCTCTTTTCATCTAAAACTACTGAACATTTTTTCGATGTGTGCGCGCCTCCACTCTAAAGCTCCCCGTCGAGTTGTTATGGTTTCTGTCTCCTGCCAGCCGCGAAAGTCACCAAAATAGGATAGGCTCCAAAAAATGATTGCTCGGAATTTATCACGTGCCGTTCATGGGTCTTCCGCTTCTTCTCTTCCCTCACAAAAGCTATAGGATCATCCCATATGGTCTCCCGGCTTTGTGAGCTGGGTTGCGTGTATATAAACACCTCCTGGGCTGGGGTCTCTTACCTTCTTATACCTACAGCTTCTCGTGCTTTATTCCAAAAAACGATTCGGACAGGAGCATGGCTCCGCTTCTGCGGTTCTGCTGTTGCATTACTAAAAAGCCCACGTAAAGAATTGTATGAGAAGGCGTCAAGTCTCTTTCTACAACATACCAAAAAGTTATTCAAGCAGTAAGATGATCTACCTTCTGCGTCTGCTTTCGCTTTATCAAAATGCGGCACAGTTCGCCGCCATGGAATCGTCCCTCCGCCTCTGCCTTCGCATTGCCAAAAAGCTGATAATACTGGTTTATGAAAGACGAGAAAGACTGTTCAAAAGTTCAAGAGATTGCTGACATGTTCTCCGGT